ATAGCCTATTAGCCTCATTAACTGCAGATACTAACAGGCATTGAGAAGCATCGCTTACTCTCATTGGATGCACAGTGGATCTTGGTGGCATGCCCTACAGTCAGAGATACAAAATAAATATTAAAATGCATTGTGACGACACAAAATTAAAAACAAAAGTGTACAGTCACAAAAGAAAGAAGCAAAGAACAATGTCTACCTCTGCCATCTCAATTGCAGATACACCTAATGCCCAAACATCTACCTGGTGCAGAAAACAAGAACACATGTTTTGGTAAGACAAACTAAAGAAAGAATTCAACTGCCAAAATGATTTTCTCAACATTGCAACCAGTAGACTTGTTTTGGAGGCTTAGTAGTAGGTAATTTTTTTTGCTTGAGGAACCATCAAGAGACAAGGAAAAGAAATAACATGTTTTGGCACTGGCAGGGGTTCCATAACAATTATTTACTGGCTTTTATGACTTTACGTGCAACCTTGTTCTGCCATATGTAAAGACATTCCACACCCAAAGAAACAAAATATTAAAGAAATCCTGCTCACTGAAAACCCGATCATAAATTTACGGCTACCAAGTCTTTAGAGCAAAAATGGCAACATCCACAAAAGCTGCTAAAATGAACAATTCCGTAGCTGTACACTGTAGAGATGATAGCATGATACCTTTCCATCATAACGACTTTCTTGAATGACCTCTGGTGCCATCCAATGTGGAGTACCAATGAACTGAAAGCATAAACATGAAGGGTCAAATTATGGAAATTAGTGTGCCACTAAAATCTTTATTCTTTCCAAAAACCATTGCACTATTTTTATTTGGTAAAAGCCATACAGACTGAGCTTAGAGAGCGATGCTGACAGTCTGTTTCACAATGATACAGTTATTTTACTGTAAAACTGGGACAGTTTTATCCTTGCATTTTGATTGAAGTACATATTAGCGCCCCAACAACAGAAAAATCCAAGACACTGTATGCATGTATGGTGAGATTTGTGTTGTGCGGTCATGATGGATTTGGTCTTAGAGAAGTGTAGCAGCCAAGAATGTGTAGAAGAGAAAAAAAAATGTAGAAGTATCAGCAGCAGTAGAAAGGGAGTAGATTGTTTTTTTTTATATTGGTTTCTAGCTAGATATTAATAAATTCCATAGTCAATTCTTGTGGTATAGTACTACATTATATCATCGTCCTAGGGAACCTGAACTTGTATTCTAACCTGATTTTCCAAACTCTCACTCACGTACCTCCTCCCAGATCTAGCCAACTATCAACTATCAACTATCCTACCTGATTTGAACTCCCTGTGCACCAACTCTTCCTCTAGTGTCAAGCAGAGTCCATAACTTGGAGGTAAGATGACGCCCTGGATAATATTTCCCACTTAGGTTCATTGCGATTATGATTTCCACAGACCTATTGGTTTGATATGCTACTGTCGCAGTAACCCTCTACGTTCTTGAATAGCTCCAGCAAGGCAGCGATTTGCCAAATCGAATGGAGCATCGCAGTCATCAAGAACAGAAGAATTGTTGAGTGGTGGCCAAGGAAGAAGCCAAATGGGGGAGTGAGCAGATTCATAATGGGATATATGGGGACTAGAGGTTGTCACAACAAATAAGGGAGAAGAAGCAGTGTAGAGAGTATTTGTACAGGAACCACTTCGACTGGGTCCACCAGTATGGGTTTCAAAGAACGGAAGAAATGCCAAGGAATTAGGTGAGACATACTAGATAACAAATATATAAAGGGCGTACCCAGTGCAGAGAGCTCCCGCTCTGTGCGGGGTCTGGGGAAGGGTGTCAGTGGCAAGCCTTACCCTCGCCTGTGCAATGCGAGGAGACCGCGACTCGAACCCGGGACCTTCCGATCACAGGCGGTAAGACTCTACCGCTTGCACCAGGCCCGCCCTTCACTAGATAACAAATATATACTTTCTTATTTTTAATTTTAAACCTAATAGAACATAATGCAGTATGACACTTAAAAGAAATAGTTAGGACTTCACAGCAATCATTTTCCAATACAAACTTGCTTCAAGTTCCCATAAAAGTACCATCATATTGAAGAACTATGCACAAGCACAAATGGGGCCGCTTATGGTAAATTGGCATGGACAAGTTTCATCACCACTTCATTTTGTTTGTTACATCGATGTGAAGTTTCTTGAACTATGGATTTGAATGGCAAAACAAACACTGTTTAGAATACCGTGTTGCGCTTTGACATGGTTCTTGTCAGCTGGGCAGCTACACCAAAATCACCTGTTTTGCACATTATTGTGGTAACACAGCATGCCGACCACAGAGTCAGGACATGCAGAAATAAGAGTGCTAAGAATGTAAACTAAAATTTTTGAAGAAAACAAATGCGCTTACCCAACTTCACCTCGCCTTGCTCAGTTAGAAGAATGTTGCCACCCTTAATATCTCTATGAACTTTAAAAATGGAGTGCAGGTAAGCAAGGCCCTGGAGAAGAAAATAAGCACGCAAAAGTTCAATATCCAAAGACATTTAGTTGCCCACAAGGCAGCAAATACTTCAAATCTGATGCAACTATGTTAGAACCTTTAGTGCTTCTCTACATATATAAGCTATTTGGGATTCATCAAGAGGCTCCTCTGTGATGCCTATCAAGTCGGCAACACTTCCACCACCACAGTACTCCATAACTATCTGTAAGTTGAGAATCGCATTTGCATCAAGCCCATTTTAAATGACTTGACAAGTAGAGCAATCTCACAATGATAGAATACTTTTGTTATTTCTTAACGTTAATAAAATGGATACTATCAGGCTATTTGATTGTACCCATAGGTAGTCCTCTCCTTGGTAGCTTCCAAAGTAGCGGACAACGTTTGGATGGCTACATTGCTGGAGCATCTCAATTTCTCCCCGTATGTCTTCATATCCTTCTTCCTGAAAACCAGAGATACATACTTATATTTTAGAAAAATGCAAGGACTCAGAAAACAGACAGCAACCACATTTATGAGATTCTCTCACAATTAAGCCCATGCAAACAAAATGCTCACAACAAAAGCAATATGGTTGCCAAATAAGATATGTCTTGGGTGGCCTTTCAGAATATTCACAGAACTTTGTCATAGAAAGTTAGAAACTAACCCCTTCTGTTAATGAGATAATCTTGACAGCCACAAGCTCCTGCGTTCTGAGATCCCTTGCTTTGTACACTGCACCATATGAACCTTTCCCTGCATTCCCAATTGAATTTTGCATTTCGCAAAACAGCTCAAAGCTTCAGCCATTCTACAAGTAGACATATAGAACTAATGAAACAATAATTCCAGAGCAAGAGTCGCACCAAGCTCATGGAGCAGCTCGTACTTGGTGGAAGGATCCTCTCTGGTAACACTGTCTGGTGCCGAGCTCACTGATGGCTTCCGCCTTGAATGCTGCTGTTGTTGTTGCTGCATCAGAGGCGACGGTTGCCGGAGCTCCTCCGTCTGCTCCACCGCTGGACTCCAGAAAGAGGACCCGAAACCCCCGCCGCCGCCAGAAGCAGATTCATGGGAACTGGAACCCCCGCTGGTGTGGCGAATGAAGGTGCCAGAGAACGACCCGCGGGGGCTCGACGGGCTCCCTGGTCGGCGGATGAATGTGTCGGAGACCGACTCCCGGGGGCTCGACGGGCTGCTGGTCCGGCGGATGAATGTGCCAGAGACGGACTCGTGAGGGCTGGACGAGCCCCCCGAGCGACGGATGAATGTGCCGGAGGCGGACCCACGAGGGCTGGAGGAGGTTCCCCCCGAGCGTGCAGTGGAGTGGACGACGAAGGTAGAGTATGGGTCGTCATCGGTAGCGCGGGGGCTGGAGCGCCGCAGATCCAGGAACGGAGATCGAGCGGAGGCCGGGGCGCCGCTCTTGAAGACCACCGTAGCGGAGAGGGAAGCATCGTCGGGGTCGGAGGAGTAGGGGTCCTCGTCGTCGTCAAAGGAGGGGCCGCCGAAGTCCTTGGGGAGCCGCTGGAGAAGCGGAGGCAGCGAGGAGGGGTCTTCCTCCTCGTCTTCCTCCGCCCGCGTGGAGGGGCCCCTGCCGCCCCTGCTGCCGCGGGCGTCGTCTTCGTCGTCATCGCCGTGGACGACGAAGGTTGAGTAGACGTCGGTTCTCTTGGTACGCGACCACGGCGAGCGCGGGGAGAAAGCCATGGCGTGCCACGCGAGGTGGGAGGAGATGGTGAAGGTGCTCGTCGGGAATGGCAAATGGGGAAAATTGTTTAGTTGGAGCCAGTTCACTCGAATCTGGCAAATATGGGTCGGGCTCGGATGGGCCATCCCATTCTAGGCCCACGTGACATAGAAAATCCGGTCAAATTCTTCCTTCCCGCTAGGCCCACACGGCCACACCCAGTCACCCACAGACAGCTTGTCCTCGAAAAGGAAACTAGGAAATACAGAACTTCTCTTTTTTTTCTCCTCTCAATTGCACTTAGACCAGTCTCAATGAGAGTTTCATAGGAATTTCATGCGCATTAAATAAGCTAATGTGACATAGTTTAAATAAAGAAAGAGATGAAAATAGTTTCATGCATGGGGATGAAACTTATTTACACTGCTTGTCTTGGAAACAGAGCCATGAAACTTCCGTTAAGACTAGCCTTAGCACCCGAGATCATTTTGAAAAGAAACAAACAAACTAAAATGCAATACTGTTGTAGAACTTTTATTACCATATACCCTATCACACATGTGGTAGGGCGAGATCATCATTATATTCGAAGAAGAAATATATTCCGCAATCCACAATGTAATAAAAATAGCAAATCATCGAGAAAGGGCTGATCAATAAGAATCCTGTCAAGGGTTCATATAACTGTCATCTGCTATGCAGAGCCAAAAAAATATCTCTTTAGGGTTTGCTACTAGGTCAATAAATCGAGTATGCAAATTTCTCCCATATACAACTAAAGTTACATAAGCACATTCCTCCTGAAACAGTAATGCTGAAAACAAACTTTTTATTTGAATGGTTGAATCTACAAGTTATACGGTTTGTTTCCAGAATCTGATCGATCTATCGTTTCCACAAATAACAAAAACTGGCTCAACTGGGGAGTGGTCGAGCCATCTAGGAGCACCAGTGCTGCCAGAGGGCAATCTTGCAACCTTTTCAGCAGTAAGTGCATCCCAGACGACAACCTGAAGAGTGAAGTATCATAGTTAAGCTATATTTCCCTGCTGAAATACAAATACATATACTGTTCTCAAATTGGAATGTACCTCATTGTTTTGTTCATCAACTGATAGCACGTATTCCTCGGTTTCATTGAAGACAGCCTGGATAGTAAGAACAGTTATTATCATATTTATTGTTTATCATAGCAAAGTTAGGTATGTTGTTATCCTTAGCTGCAAGCTCAAACCAGCCTATTGTCGAATTAAAAATATTGCAATATTTTGTTTCCTAAATTATTTCACTGTATGCATTGACACACAAAAAAAAAACGGAATCTGGGTCTCAGATTCCCCGGTACAGCAAAAATCGTGTATATATGACACACGAGTAAATTTAAATCAGAAAAAAAACTAACCTGACAACGAAATTGTCTGCGAATGGCTCCTTCATATTGCTTCACAAGTCGTCCAGTGCCAACTTCCCATAACTTGACACAAGAATCTTTCCCACAAGATAGGACGTACCTGAAAGAATACAGTAAACTTCATAACAGATAACCAAAATACAGTGCGAGTTTTATCAAATCCATGAACATTATCTAAACATGTAGTTCGGGTAGTCAAAGTGCACTACATCAGATTCTTTAGATCAATCTTATATGCAAGTGCATTCACACTGTATATAACCACATAAACACTAGGCCTTTCAGAAGAAGTCTCAAAAGTGCTTATAGGCAGGTTAGTTGTTTAGTGGTGAAACATTAGGGCAAAGGAGAAAGAGCTGTTAGTTGCTATTCGTGTGATAAAGTTAAGACTTGTCTGAAACACAGGAAATTCACCAGGACATGCTACAAATCATTCAGAATTACTACAAGATTCTCACATTCCAAACAGGGTTTGAGGTAGTTACTGTCTTGAGTCAAACATACAGCATATGCCTGTCTCTCTGTTCTTCAAACCAAACAATAACTGGATCTTATCTTGAGGGAAGAGCACCTTAGACAGACTGGTAGCTCGCTTACCTCTCATCTTTGGTGAAAATTGCACTAGTAGCTTCTGCGGATCCATGTGCTCCAATAATAGGTCGAACACATTCAGCAGATACTCCATCCCAAATGCGCAAAGAACCATCTTTAGAAGCAGTAACATACAAGCTCCCAGTACAAGAGTAGCGTACCTGGCAGCGACATCAGTAAGCACGGCTAGCGGAGTAAAATTAACCTTTGATGAGAATATAACCAATGCAATATAATGCTTGTGAATCAGAAGGAAAGAGAAAAGCTACCTGGTTAATGGGAGAACTAGAATCCTGTGCATTTGCTGATAAGTAGCATGTAAAAGTATTTATATCATATAAATGAGCAACTGGGTGATCAGTCCCTGCAAATAACTTTATCAGTGTCACTTGCTTCCACGATATTCATCAATATATGAAAAATGAGTTATTTAAAAAAAAATACATTTGTGGATGAAAATATTTGACTATAAGAAAAAAAAAATATGTGGATGAAAAATGAGTTATTTTGAGCCCTTATCTGTTTGCCTTAGTGATGGATGAGGTCACAAGGGACATACAAGGGGACATCCCTTGGTGTATGCTTTTCGCGGACGATGTAGTGCTAGTTGATGAAAGTCGGACAGGAGTGAATCAGAAACTGGAGTTATGGCGGGAGACTTTGGAGTCCAAAGGTTTTAGACTCAGTAGAACAAAAACTGAGTATATGAGATGTGACTTCGGCACTACTACTCGGGAGAAGGAAGATATTAGTTTGGAAGGTCAAGTAGTGCCTAGGAAGGATACCTTTCGATATTTAAGATCAATGCTACAAAGAGACGGGGATATTGATGAAGATGTTAGCCATAGAATCAAAGCAAGGTGGATGAAGTGGCGGCAAGCATCTGGTGTCCTATGTGACAAAAGGGTACCACAGAAGCTAAAAGGCAAGTTTTATAGGACGACGATTAGACCTGCTATGTTGTATGGTGCAGAATGTTGCGAAAAGACGACATGTTCAACAGATAAGTGTCGCGGAAATGCGTATGTTGCGTTGGATTTGCGGTCATACAAGAAGGGATCGAGCTCGGAACGATGATATACGGGATAGATTAAGGGTAGCACCAATTGAAGAAAAGCTTGTCCAACACCGATTGAGATGGTTTGGACATGTCCAACGGAGACCTCCAGAGGCATCGGTGCGTAGTGGAATCCTAAGCCGGGATAGTAACGTGAAGAGAGGCAGAGGAAGACCGAAGTTGACTTGGGTAGAGGCAATAAAAGGAGACTTGAAAGGATAGAATATACCCAAAGACTTAGCCTTAGATAGGAGTGCTTGGAAAATAGCTATTCACGTGCCTGAACCTTGATTGCTTCTGCTGTGTTTCAACTCTAGCCTACCCCAACTTGTTTGGGACTTAAAGGCTTTGTTGTTGTTGTTGTAAGAAAGAAGAAAATTCCATAAGATATGCTTGCAGTATTTTTCAAATGCCCAAGAGATAGGAACTGCTGATCCAGGAACGAAATCCAAATTCATGGGCCTGAATATCAAATTGTTTTGGTGAAATAATTAAATTACTTTACAGATAACAACTGAAAGCATGTTAACAACTTATAATGCATAAAAATCAGAGCAAAACAAAATGATGTCAGAAATCAAGAATCAGTTAATAACAGCAGAAGTAGAAATTAAATTTAAATTTAGTGAAAAGATCATAGTACCTGCTAAAAGGTAATCCCCACAAGGATGAAAACATACAGATCTAACATTATGAGTATCCTGCCAAGCATTAACAATTGAGCCTGGTTAAATGCAATGAACACACCATTTTACATGATATATAGATAGATTAGGTTGCTAGAATTTACAACCTGAATAACTCTGAACGCTTTCCTCGCATTGGTTTTTGAGAAATCAAAGAATCTGTTGAGCAATTTTTTTTCATGTACAAAACAATAACACAGATAGCAATTAATACCACAAAAAAAATCCTAAAAAATAAGAATCATGCTTAATCCCAGTATGAGCATTTCAAATAGACAATTTAACAGAAAGGAGTGTAGACATTAAGGATAAGCATACTTTATTGTATTGTCTTTTGCAGCTGATATCAGTATTGGACTCTCAGGATGAAAATCCAGACCATTGATGGCCTGCAAGAAATCAATCATATTTATGAGCACAGTGGAAATTCGAGCGATGGAAAATAAAGTAAGCAACTAGTGAAAAATGGAGTTGTTTACTAAAAAATTGAATACCATGTCAATGCTCCAAACAGCTCAGTAAGCAAATATCTAACTATAAACTGCATGTGCTAGGTGTGCATCCAGTGTGCTAAATGTGAGTTGAGCATGTGTATATAAGTGTGGTGGCAGGTGGATTTGATCTACCCATGCATTTCAGTCTTTATATAATGCAATGATATGCAGCTCTCCGCATATTCAAGGAAAAAAATACTGCAGGAGACCAAACTCAGGAGCAATCTTGTGGAAGTGTTGAAAAGAGTCTCATGACCTTGAACAGTAAATAAACTGGCATATATGAACAATACATGCTCACCTGTGTGTGATCATAAAATGTGCGAATCACAGGCCTGGCAGGACCATCTTTGGAGTCCCCTACCATAGTCTGCTTAATTTTAGCAACCTGCAAGAGAGAGCAATAGTGAGTTGCAAGTTGCAACTAAGTACAAAACAGCACAAGCCCACCTAGCATTCGACAAGTTTACCTCAAAAAACTTAATGGATGTATCAGCACTCCCAGTTGCAAAATACTTTCCATCAGGACTAAATTTCGCGCACCGGGCAGCGCTCTACAGAAAAAGTACAATGGTAACTTGATAATAAGCCAACGAACATCAGTAAAATATATGGCTGGGTCAATCTCAAGTTATATACATAATCATGGTACTGTGACAAGTGCAAAATGTGCAAGAATAGTAGTAAATATCCAGATAAGCAGGAGACTGACACAAAAGCTGTTTCAAGTAGTAAATTAGCAAGGGAAAATTGGAACCATACGCACCTTATGGTCAGAGACATGCTTCACCTCGTGCTTGGGGAAGCTCTTGGATGAGCCCTTGACATCCTGCATACTGCACAGCACAGCACCGGCGTCAACACTCCTCACCAATCACGGTTCAGCACCACAAAAAACACTGCCACTAGGCAACGCCACGGGCGCGCAAGGTTGGGGTTTACCTGAAATCCACGGCACTGGAGCCGAGCTGCTGCACCAACCCACCGAACCCGGCGGAGTCGAATGCGGAAGCGGCGGCTCCTCCTCCGCGCTCCGCCGCGAGGCCCTGCGAACCAACAGTGAGGGTTTAGGCCCGTGCAGAACAAATCCTAGGCAGGAGGAAGGGGAGAGTGGGGGAACCTTGGCCACGAGACGTAGGAGTTGATTGGCGGGGACGGATTCCGCGGCGGAGATGGGGGTCATGGTGGCGGCGGCGACGGCTGCTGCGGCCTGCCCGAGGTTCTGGCTACGGAGGTGCGCCACGATGAGCGCGTTCACCTGCCGCAGCAGCTTCACCTCCTGCACCGCCTCGTTCATTGCTTCGTTCTCGTCGCTTCGATTCGCCACCCTCCGAAGGCCGAACAAATCCTTGGATGGCGGCGGATTCAGTTGTGACTGGACGGAAGCTGAAGAAGACTAGCAAGCTCCTGTCCTTTCTTCGAGTATTCAAGGATGTCGATCCTGTTGTCAAAAAAAAAAAAAAAGGATGTCGATCCTCTTACACGTGGATCCCGGGCAACGTCTCAGGAAATGATGATCACCCTGTTCGCTGATGCTGAAATTTGGCTTATATTAATGCTTGTGCTAAAATATTATTAGAAAAAAATACTATTTCATAACTAAAAAGTAGTTTTGAATAACCTCATACGAACAGGGCCAATATTTATAGTGGAAAATCCCAATAAAAGAACAATTTAAAATGGATGGCTTTGAAGAAATTACAAATTTTATATTCCTCATGTGAAACTTATATAGCGCTAAAACATTTATCCTAAAATACAGGATAAGTGATCTTATTTTGATTTGAAGAAAATACATTTGTTGCCTCCATCGCAATCGCAAACCCATTTTCCAAAATCAGTGACTCCACTCACCTGAACGCTCGTTTGAGTGTAGTTTGAGCACCATACTAAACGCGTAAATGAACGCCCATTTGAGTATAGTTCAAACACCAAATTAAGGGTCCGTTTGAATGAACTAGGACTAGTGATTAGTTCAACTAGTTAGGTTCTATAGACTAGTAAACTAATAACTAGTTGAAGGTTTTGGCTAATTGTTAGACTAACCACTAGTCCATCTATTTGGATCCTCAAAGGCTAAACTTTAACCAACTAGTTGTTAGTCCATGAGATCCCAACAGGCTCTAACCGCATAGATGCATAAATGACCAGGACACCCAAACGGCATCATACCAGCAAGATAGCAATGAACATAATAAAGGATCAAACGAATGGGTTATCCTCTCTCAGAAAGGGTTTCCCAGTTTGCTTAAGCATGATACTATGATTTGCTTCTCAGTGAATATGGGAGCAGCAACGTGTTCGACATTTTTGCATTCCAAGGGCAAAAAGATAATTGAAACCGCATGAAAAGAGAAGTCAAAACAGCATCTCCTGGAAACATTGTTCCATGTCATTACAACTGGTCTCAATCATCCAGCCTCGCAAAAAGCCTTCACGTATAAAAGAATGAGAAGTGTGTACATCTGATCTCGTTTATACTCATCTAAAATAATCTGCCTAATCCATATTCAGCATAAGAGGCAAAAAAAAAAAAAAGGCCCCTGCACTTTTTGAGAATACTGCCCAGAGAACCATAGTTTGTAAGGACTATTGTCTAGCATCAAATGAAGTCTTTAACACCATCAAACATCCATGTTTAATGCTTTCACCTATGTCAGCAAGAACTGAAGCTTCCAGTGGTGTCACTGTTGTCGACATACAGTACAGCATTATTTCACTTCTTCTAATACAAAACTTCCAGAATTGTAGGAATTGCATTCGAGTTTAAGGCAGCTCAACAGTCAGACCTCTTCAACTTTAGCACACAAGCGCTCTGTGGGAAAACAAAAGAAATTACAGTAAGAACACCAAAATCGTCTGAGTGCAGGTCACAAAATTACCAAAACTAATTATACCTTGTTCTCTAAATAAATTTTAATGTACAAAAATAAACTTATATGATATAGATCTTTAATCATGACAACTTTGGTAATGCCCATCCATTCATTAAAAATAAGAAATCGGAATCAGTGGTTTTATTCACGACATGCTAATGCCATGTTTACAAAGGACTAATTGGTTTATTTCACAGCGGTCATATCCACAGGTGGACCAGATTGTTGCAAGCACAAGGCTGCTATTTGCTACTTGCATGTGCCAATTGTTCAACATCCAGCCAGTCTACAGGAAATAATGTGCGCTCCTTGGCATTAACAGAAGCAGGTTTCTTGTATGGTGATAGCTTTATTCGGAAAATATAGAAAAGTTACAGGCTGCAACTTGAGTCAAAATTTTCATTGCACATGGGATTTATGATACAACTTACAAAAGCAGTGTACTGGAGATGCCAACTGACCTGAATGACGCCATTTTAACTAAATTCTAAATGAGAAGTACCAGGGTACTTAAAATTAACCTGCATGGGATGCGGTAATATATGACACTACATATGCATGTGCATTCGATACAGTGATTTGCGAACCAGGAGCATAAGTATACATTTGACGAGGGAAGACGAAACATACTCAGGTACTCGTAGCATACTATCATTGAGGTACCCCAAGCTGATGAGCTGAAAAATCTTGGACCCAACCCTCTGTACAAACCTTTCCATCCATCTTCAGCAATCAACCTTTTAACAACTTCCCCGGCTTTTGGCTTATTTTCATTATCCATAACCTAAATGACAAGAAACAAAACTCAGTGTAATCATCTGTAGCAACAAATGCAGAGGGAGGGAGGGAGAGCACAACTGTCAAAATATAGGGTTGTGGCTTGTGAGAACTTTCAGTGTTGGTAGTTGTAATATCAGTTTACCACTACAAACTTAACATGTGATATTTGGAGATATGTGAAGCATGTTGTAAAAATGCATGACACATCCCTGGCATACTTTAGTCAGTTTGAAAGTGCTAACTTTTGTTACTCAATATAAATAATGAGGTCATAGATATCAAGTTTTCCCAATGGAAGTTCCCTTTTTTTTTTACCTCATAACAGAAACCATGACAAATTGATCATAGTATGTCAGCTGAAAACAAACAGCTGTAAACATAGAAGTATATATTATTTAATGTAGACAGCATTCCAGTCTTATCACCTCAATAGCCCGCCATTGGAGGAAATATATCAGTATGAAAAAACATTTAGGTATTCAAGTCCGACATCGAATATACTTCCAAAACAAAATATCCATTCCCCTAAACTTAGTGGCATTGCATTGGTAAGGAATCAAATTATAGCAAATGAGCAGCATAAAAGTAAAGACAAGAATCATTAGTCACAAGGGTAAGCCTCACAAAATATACCCACACAACTCAAATTACAAGAGTAATCAGAAAACAGAATGCCACACAGTACCTGCAGCCTGGTCTTGATTGTATCTATGGGAGTCGTAACAAAAGAGGTCACGGCACCAGCAAAAACTCCCCCTGATGCTTGAATACCAACTAGTTTCAATTGGCTAGGAGCCTCTTCTTTGTCATGCAAATGGCCAAGAGCACTGCTCCAATATGTAAAGAGCATAATAGTTAACTATTTTGGCTAAGTTAACAACACAAGAAATATAATCTTTCAACCATCAACCACAAAGAAATAAACTAACAAAACGTACTGATTCCAGTAAAACTTTCATACATGCTCTTAACAGCATTAACAGCACACTAAGAGTTTCAATTTAGTTTTGCAGAGTGCATGGAACTATATGTGGTTTTGTGTAGTTACTTCATCATATTGCTTCAGGTTGGTAATTAAGTTCTCTAAGCTGCCAGAGACTAGAAATACAACAACAACAACAATAACAACATAGCCTTTCAGTCCCAAGCAAGTTGCGGTAGGCTAGAGTTGAAACCCACCAAGAGCCCCAAGTCATGGTTCAGGCACTTCACTAACTGCTTTCCAAGCACTCCTATTCAAACATAGATCTCTAGGTATATCTCAAGCTTTCAAATATCTTTTTATTGCCTCCCCCATGTCAATTTCGGTCTTCCTCTACCTCTCCTCAAATTATTAGCTTGGTTTAGGACTCCACTGTGCACTGGTGCCTCTTGAGGTCTCCTTTGACATGGCCAAACCACCTCAACCGATATTGAACAAACTTTTCTTCAATTGGTGCTACCCCTAGATGACCACGTATATCATCGTTCCGAACTCGGTCCATTCTTGTGTGACCCCAAATCCATCGCAACATACGCATTTCTGCAACACTCAGTTGTTGAACATGTCGAATCTTTATATGACAACGTTCTACTCCATACAACATAACCGGTCTAATCGCTGGTCTATAAAACTTGCCTTTTAGCTTTTGTGGTACCCTCTTGTCACAGAGAATGCCAGAAGCTTGTCGCCACTTGATCCACCCTGCTTTAATTCTATGGCTAACGTCTACATCAATATCTCCTCCCTCTGTAGTATCTATCCCATATACCGAAAGGTATCCTTCTTAGGCACTACTTGACCTTCCAAACTCACATCTCCTTCCTCCTGTGTAGCTCCGCCAAAGTCGCATCTCATGTATTCGGTTTTAGTTTTGCTCAATCTAAAACCTTTAGACTCAAGGGTCTGCCGCCATAACTCTAGTTTCCTATTTACTCCCGCCTGACTTTCGTCCACTAACACTACATCATCAGCGAACAACATACACCAAAGGATATCCCCTTGTATGTTCCTGGTAACCTCATCCATTACCAAGACAAAGAGATACGGGCTTAAAGTTGACCCTTGATGAAGTCCAATTTTAATCGGGAAGTTATCTGTGTTACCATCGTTTGTTTGAACACGAGTCACAACATTGTTGTACATGTCCTTGATGAGGGTCACGTACTTTGATGGGACTTTATGTTTGTCCAAAGTCCACCACATAATATTTCTTGGTATCTCATAAGCCTTCTCCAAATCAATGAAAACCATATGGAGGTCCTTCTTCTGCTCTCTAAACCGCTCAATAACTTGTCTTATTAAGAAGATTGCTTCTGTGGTTGACCTTCCGGGCATGAAATCAAATTGGTTTGTTGATATATGCGTCGTTCCTCGCAGGCGCTGCTCGATGACTCTCTCCCATAGCTTCATAGTGTGGCTCATCAACTTAATTTCCCGATAATTAGTACAACTTTGGATATCTCTCTTGTTTTTGTAGATTGGTACTAATATGCTTCTTCTCCACTCCTCGGGCATCTTGTTCGATCGAAAGATATTGTTGAACATCTTGGTTAGCCATACTATAGCTATATCCCCGAGACATCTCCACACCTTAATTGGGATACCATCAGGACCCATCGCTTTGCCCCCTTTCATCATTTTCAAGGCTTCTCTGACCTCCGATCCTTGAATCCTCCGCACAAAGCGCCTATTAGTGTCATCAAACGAGTCGTCCAGCTGAACGGTGGTGTTCTCGTTCTTGCCATCTATATCTGGTCTCATCCTCCTTCACCAAGAGCTGCCCCCTCTCATCCTTTATGCACTTGACTTGGTTGAAGTCCCTTGTCTTCCTATTGTAAGCCCTAGCCATCCTATAAATGTCATTCTCTCCTTTCTTCGTACTCAAACGTTGGTAAAGGTCCTCATAGGCCCGCCCTTTTGCTTCACTCACCACTCGTTTTGCAGTCTTCTTTGCCACCTTGTACTTCTCTATGTTGTCTGCACACCTGTCATGATACAAGCGCTTATAGCACTCATTTTCCTTAATAGCCTTTTGCACATCTTCATTCCACCACCAAGTGTCTTTCGAGTCGCATCCGCTCCTTTTGGTCACTCCAAGCACCTCTGAAGCAATCTTCCGAATGCATATTGCCATCTTCTCCCACATGCTGTTTGTATCGCCTTCATCCTTCCAAGGGCCCTCTTTAATGACCTTTTCCTTAAAGACCTTTGATGTCTCCCCTTCTAATTTCCACCACTTCGTTCTAACAACCCTAGCTTGTTTGTTCCCACGAGCTTGCACTAGAAAGCAGAAGTCAACCACCACCAGCTTGTGTTAAACGACCACACATTCTCCAGGTATCACCTTACAGTCCACGCATGTTCGTTTATCCCTCCTTGTAAGGACAAAGTCGATTTAACTAGAGTACTAGCCGCTACTAAGATATTTACACGCCTCCTAACCACTGTGTCCACTAACTCTCTTAACTATCCCCTAAAGGAACCCTACATTCCAGCTACCTAAACGGATCCTAGTTGGCTCGACTAGCTTCCTTACCCTTCGCACCCGCCGAGGTAGGTGTGAAGACCCTCATTTTGCACCACACCTGGGCGTCGATGTGGCGCGCCACTAAGGATGCCAGTTGCCAGAGACTAGAAATATGTAAGATTATATTTCCACTTTTGGTCAGTTATCCAACTTATCCTTCTGATTATTTTTATTTTTATCTGTAAAGAAAATGTGAATTGATCGCTACGATAAATCTAATCAGACCAACACAGCACAGATGCATTCTTGTTTTCTAAAAAAATATATACATATTGACATGGAAGAACAAGTATCAGAAAACAAAATTGCAATTATACTGCAGTTTGGGCATCAAAAGGGGACAGATGGGAAATACCAATTCAAATAACTATTAAGTAGAAATGTATTACTGGTCTTTTTCTCGTAAACATTACATAGTGCACAGGGCTGAGAGGAACATAACGATGAACCAGTCAGATAAGCTAAGTAGCTAACCTCCAAATTATGCGCTGGCTGGAACCATAACTCGCCCACCACACAGCACTGGATGGTGCGTAGGTCATAACAGACAGTCCAAATCCTCTGTACAGCCCCCTAATACCATCAGCCTTTATGACCTTTCGAGCAACATCTATTCCACCTTTGTATCTGGCATTACCAGAATATCCTTGAACCATCAATTTCTGGCTAATCTGAAACATTCCAATGCACAACACAATGAACACAGTAGTCTAGTGTTGTAATTAACATTTAACAGCAACATATTCTAAGATATTTTTTCTCTATACAACATCACATAGAAGGCACATGAGAGGCATACCACATCAATTGGAACAAAAATAGCCTGTGAACATGTAGACGCCAACAGACCGGCAAGGCCATTGGCAAAGGCGGCCCGCACCGGCTCCGACAGCTTGAAGGGCTCAACAAGCTTGAGCGAGGCTGCTTTGGTTGTCTCAAGAGCCGTGAGGAAGATGATCCTAGTTGGTACAGCCCCAATGATAACGGTAGCAAACCCCCGGTACAGCCCTGGCACGCCGTCCACCTTGAGGATGTTCTTGAAGGTAGCCAGCGCGTTCCTGCTCATGGCATCCCCAGAGGCAACCTGCATCCGGGTCTTGACCACCGAGACAGGGTACAGCGCCAAGGTGACGCCGCTGAACATGCCTGCGCCCACCACGTAGAGCTTGGTCTTGTCGAGGCTGCAACATTTCAGCACCACGATTTGAGAACGGTAACAGAATCAGAAACAACGGAATAAGCTATGAATCCCCAAATTGCGCCTCGTCATGTCAAATCCTCAAACCACAATTCCTAATCCTATAAGGCGGTAAAGCCAATTCGGAATAGGGTGGAGGACACAGTTCAACGATCAGAGCTAAATCTCTAGGAGACTAGGACCGCGAGAAAGGGGGAAATCGGCACGAAATGGAAACCTAAGGAATTACAAGACGGGCGGTTGCTTACTTGTCCCAGTTGATCTCCGTCTGGTGGAGCGACGGGATCTTGGCGGCCCTAGAGGTTGTATCCATGGCCGCGCCGCTAAAATCCTCCCCTCCACCAATCCGCGACCCCGAGGTGAGAACCGAAGGCGGCGCCGGAGGCGTGGCGCGGACTCGACTCGGCAAGAATGGCGGTCGGGCGGACGGGCTGCTGTGGCTGGCTTCCCTTCCCCCCGTTTTCCCTCCCCACTTTTCGTGCTCTTTTTGTCCACAACAACTGACATAGCATGTGCTCCTCGCCTCTTCCGTTTTGTTGGAGGGCGTCGCCGCGTCGACGGCGTCGAATTTTTTATTTTTCGGCCCTTTTTTAAAAAAATATTCACAAATAGATTTTTTTTGTTGTGTGATTTTTGTTTATGGACTTTGACCTCGGCGTCATGGTTTTTGGTGCCAAGGAAACTAGTCTTGACGCTATGGCTAATGGTGCCGAGGTCTTAGTGAGGCGTCGGACGTGGCGGTGACATGGCGTCAACGTGGACAATGCCTCGGCACCATAGATTTTGGCACCGAGCTGTTACCCTATAGCTCTTGGCGTTTAAAATGAAACAAGTATAATTGTTCCGAAAAACATGCAACAACACTATTGCGGTTGAGCTGGTTAGGACGCACGCGACTTAGCTCAAAGGCATGGGTTCGAATCTCGACGCTAAATCTTTTTTACTACATTTTTGTTAAGACTCATACCGTATGTTAGATGTTTTTTTTTACCTACAATGACACTGAATAGTTGCCTCAGAATATGGTTTTATCTGTGTTTTTGTAACATTCTCGGTGTTACACTGTAAATCTTTTATTAAAACACTGCATGAGTATCATATTTATTTGTAAATGTATGTAATATATGGTGTAAATCAATTTCCGTAACTTAAGACAACCAATGTAAATGCATAACGAAAGGTTGTTCGCGAATTTTTATTGAACGAAAACGCTATAGAATGTATATACGAAATTTTAGTAAAGTTAGAAGTATGAACTTTGTAGATGGCGATGAAATACCTATGGTTGAAAAATGAATTCATCAGCTAGCATACCTAATAGCTTAGAAATCAAAATTGACGCGAATTCGATCAAAACTTAGTTAAATTTCTTAAGTCAGAAAATAGTTTGACAAGGCTAAGTTTGATAATTTTTGTAGAAGAATTGGGTTAAGAAGTGACGGTGTATTAGGGCTTGTTTTAGTAGCATAACATGTCCTCTTGAGTATAGAAAATGTGGCTTAGTGTTTGAATCAACGAATTGGATTTTTGGGACGCTTTAAAAAGCATGCATGACACGTTTCTGGTCGGTTTCAGCACCTGGGCGCGGCCACCGTGCCTCGGCACTCCGCGTCGCCGTTGCCGCGCCTAGGCACGTGACTCATGCACGCAAGCACACAAGCCCTCACATGCACCGACGCACTCAGCGGGACGCTGGGGCTGGTGGTCCTGGCCGCTCTGCCTCGCCGCTGCCGTCGCGGGCCCAATGCCCTGACCGGTCCGCTACCGCCTGCCTCGCTGTGTCACCGTGCTGCTGCTGGCCGCGGTCGCGCTTGTTGGGTCGATCACGTGCGCCCACGTCGTTTGCGTCGCGTCCGCTTGCGCTGCTGCGCCGCTGTCCCGTCACCGGGCTGCGCCGCGCTCTCACCACCGCGCCACAGCAAGCTGCCGTCGCGTCCGCCTACGCCTCTGCGTCGTTGTCGTCATGAATTCGTGCACGTGAGCTTGCCGAGGTCACGCGCGTGCCGTTTCACCATTAACGGCACCACGGCCACACTGTCGCGCTGCCACCACCCGCACGCGGGCATGCCGCCCCTCTCCTGGCTGTGTTGGCTCGCAATGATTGCACAAGTGCGACCGCTGCATCCCGCCAAAGCTTGGACAAGCAGCCGACCCAATCCCCTTCTTTTCCCCTCCCTCTCTGTTGTCGGGCCAGCCAGGCCACGCCATCAATCCAGCATGGTTGGGTCTTGTCTCTTCAATTTGGTGTGCCCCAACTCCGTCGTCAAACCTGCTAGCCAATCGACCCCGCACCGTGTCCAATTGCGCATTGGCAAGCTTCAATTTGGAGCTGGATGTCCGCCGTCGCGCCATTAAAGGTTTAGCCACCGTTGCCATGGGCATTACCCACCTGGTCCTCCCGAGCCTAATTGGTTGCACCCCCAGCCTCGCCTTACAGTCCTTCTCGACGTGCGCACCCCACTTGCACTGCTACTACCTTCCCGGCGCCGCTGACACGGTCGCGCCACCATCGCCCGTCGCGGTGTTTGCTGTGTGCGCGTGGCCGAACTCACCCGATTCGTCCCCAATCAAGCCACTGCCACAAGTAGCTTAGGGGTGAGTTGCTGATGCCCAACCTTTAGTTTGTTCGCTTCGTTGTGCCTTGGCTCACGGGGAACATGGTTGTCGTCGCCGCAGGGTGTCCGTCGCCGTGGAGGGAGCTCTGGACCGCGTCTCCATTCATCGCTTCATCGCCCACCGCTTCACGTTTGCATCTAGGTGAGCATTGGCTCGCTATCGAGGGCGAGGAGGGGCTAGGGTGACCGGCGTGACTGCCCAGTGCCATCGCCATCGCGCCGGTGCGCGCACGGTGCCTAAGGACCTGGCCATGGTAAAGATAGATGGTTTCGAGGGCTAGATTGCTTAAGTCCAGACTATAGGTGTAGGATCTACTGGAAGATAAAAAGGCCTAGAGGCGGGTGAATAGGCCTGTAAAAATTCAACTCGAAACTCTGTTAGAACAGAGGGTGGCACTGCCGGCCTTACAGGGCGGCACTACCGCTCTACAAAAAATAATCTAATACAGTTGAGATTTAACATATATGAACCTGACCCCACTAGCTGCTTAAACCTGTAATATAAAGCCAAGATCCAGTTCGAAGACTAGATACCACAAAATCTTCACACAAGAGTGAATCGAGCAACTAAACCCTAACAACAGCTAGCAATAAGGTGAACAGCAAGTAGTGTAAAGATAAAGCACTCGAGACACAAGATTTATCCCGTGGTTCAGCTCACCACTAAGGTTTGCCTAAGTCCACGTTATTGAGGAAGCCACAAAAGGCTTGAGCTTGCCACCAAGGCTTGCCTTACCCTCGTTCTCAAATCAAGAGAGTGAACTCTTGAAGTGAGGGGTGATTTCTTAGCTTTTAAATGAGGTTACAAACCTCCCAAGGCTGCCACACAAGTTGGCAAGCACAAGGGCGACGCCTAGCCGGCTAGGAGCAAGCTCCAAGAGTAACAAACCCTAGAACCGCTGGCCAAACGTGAACCAAATGCTCTTAGACTTTGGGAATCAGTGGATCTCCTCTCCAATCGAGTTTTGCTGCCTTTTATCTTAAGTTTTGATGGTTGGAATCAAGGATTAGCTTGAGGGATGGAGGAGCAACAATGGAGGAGAGGGATGAGCTTTGGTTCTGTCTGTTTTCTAGCAGAGTGAGTCAGTGAAGAAGATGACCATTGTGGGCCGGGCCTGAAGGGTATAAATACCCCTCGAGCCCAACGATCAGTTAAGGGCGGCACTGCCGCTCTTAACAGGGCGGCACTGCCGCCCTAGCTAAAATAGGTAACATGATATAAAATTTGGCTGGCTGTTTTGACTAGGTGGGAGGATGTAGATCTGTGAATTTGAGCATCTGATTCAACAGTTAACCAACTGTCCTAAAATCCCTCTTAATAGTACGGCTTTTCCTAAACTCAAATTCAAAACTTTAAAAGAATTTAAACCTCTTTAGAGCTAGGTCCAGCCACCTTTTGTAATTAGGACACCTGCAACGTGTACATCATCCTCATTCTTTGATTCCCTGTTATCATCTCGATAAATCTTATTAGTTCTCTAATTTGGTGGTCATCAATACCAAAACCCACAATAGGGCTTGATTGCACTTACAATCTCCTCCTTTTTAGTAATTGATGACAACCCAATTAGAGCTTATAAATGATATGAAATCTAAACTGAGATTTTCGAACCATTGGTGTAGGAGCCTCCCCCTAAATATGTGAATAAAGATTAGAATTCTCAATTTGGCATAAAAGGCCATGATTCACATTTTAGGTATGATGGGAACCTCCCCCTACATCCATGCCTGTTGTGGGGTGTTGAACAAAGTGTCACAAGAATAATCATGATGCATATGACAGTTTTTATCAGTTCAAGCACACAAGATTCTGGTTGATACAGCAGAGGGCGGCACTGCCGGCCCCATAGGACGGCGCTATCGTCCTGACTATATCAGTCAGATAGCAATCAGATTTCTACAGCAGATCATATGAATATAAAGCAATCTAAACTCAGAATATGACAAGCTAAAATTGTAATCATGAATACATGTCCATATCCGAAGCAAATAAAGTCAAAAAGTAGCATAATTTCATAAAATAGAGTTTTGAGAGACTCTCAAACTCACAACCTAACAGCTACTCTCATCGGATCTGAACATAAACGCAGCAGCAAGGTGTCAAAAATCCATTGGAAATCCATTGATCCCTCTAATTTTCTCCTCCTTTAGCATCAAATACCAAAAAGAGAAGAAAAAGAAGAGAAGTCACTCGTCACCATCGGAGTCGACGCGGGTGAAAGCTCTAGTTTGATTTTGGTTAATTGATGAAACCCTAAGTGCTAACCTAGTTTATCATGGTGATTATGAGATAGGTAGCACTACTCCAAGTGATGAAGCAATGACGAAGATCATGACAATAGTGATGGCATGGTGATGATCGAGTGCTTGAACTTGGAAAAGAAGAAAGAGAAAAACAAAAGGCTCAAGGCAAAGGTATAAATTGTAGGAGCCATTTTGTTTTAGTGATCAAGACACTTAGCGAGTGTGATCACATTTAGGATCGATAGCCGTACTATTAAGAGGGGTGAAACTCGTATCATAATACGGTTATCAAAGTGCCACTAGATGCTCTAACTCATTGCATATGCATTTAGGATCTAGTGGAATGCTAACACCCTTGAAAATGATTTGTAAAAATATGCTAACACATGTGCACAAGGTGATACATTTGGTGGTTGGCACATTTGATCAAGGGTGGTAAAGTTTGGGTGCAAGG